ACGTGTTTATTTTTCTCATAACAATATGTACTTTAGAGAGTTAGAGTTTAGGAGGACAAAACTATAGACGTCTTAGACATCGAACCGGAAAGACATACATAGAACAGACAAAAAGGTCTGGGATCAAATTTACCTGAGGGAGATGTTAGATTAAGTATAATTTCACAACTTAAAGAATGAAACACCATGCAATGTACCAAAATGCCTGTAAAATATTAAAAACAAATTCAAATCAGTTGAACTGTCATTTTATACAGAAAGACAGACGTTTGAACAATACAAAAATAAGTAGATTAGTAGACTCGCATCACTTTGTTTGTAGGGATATCAAATTTGTCTCTCGGTTTCTGTAAAATTGTAATATTGAATGATTGATTGGTTGGTGTTCAACGCAACTTTCAGCACTTATGTGCGCATTCGTGGCGGTCAGTTTTTTATTGGTGAAGGAAGCCGGAGTGTCTGGAGAGAACCACCGACCTGCGGCAGGACAACAGTACTGACAATCCTAGTCTATTAAGAGTGGAGTCGAGCGCACCTGCCACGAGCGGGATTTAAACTAACAAAATAAAAGAAATTAGAGAAGACAGTATATTGTCTATTAATTACCTTGTTGTATTAGATACACAGATTCTTTTATTTGATTCAAGTTTATTAGAATGATCTACAAAAACGCACATATTCCTTTAAGGTACAGACAGACATTAATATTGGAAAGTAAAAGATTTGACTTGCATTCCACCTAACACAATTTATTTCAATTTCTCCTGTGACATTTTCTTTGCATATTATTCTTTCTTTAAATCTATTTCAAATCCAGGCCTGAATTATTAATTTGTATAAATATTTATCTATTTATTTACTTAAATTCTTTAAGCATTCAAGGTCTTTTTTGTCTTTCGTTATTAGTTCATTCACCAAAGAGAATGTATCTAAATTGATGTTTGTATCACCAGGAGATGGTTTTTGTAAAAGCTTTCATAGCTTGTTGCCAAATCCTACTAATTAATTTGTTTGATGTATTCTATATTAACATGTATGTATATTTGATGAAGTAAAATATGTTTAAACTAAATGTTTTTCTGTAAGCTCGTGTGTGTTTATTTTTGGAGCGTGATCGCATGCTTCTTTGAATTCCTTACGCCATGTTGTTGCAGAATTCCGGAAAGGGTTTCCGGTGTTAGTTTGACATTTAGTCTTAACTCTCGCCCGCTCTCTCTCTTCCCGTGTTTACGAAAATATCACATTGCATTTTACTATGTTTGTCAATATTATAGACAATATCCCAAGTCGTACGTTTGTGTCGTGATTTACGGGGATCTTATCTATTGGCGTTATAAAAATCTTGTCTATATTATTGCAACAATGTTTATTAAGCATTTACAATTTGCATACATTTAATACTATTTGTAAAATAGCAATCAAAACTTGGACTTGAAATTGTTAGATAATATGTTCGAAGTTTGTTTTTAAATACCGTATTCATATATTTGAGAAAAAAGCCAATCATATTTCCTTAAAGTGCCTAAGCTTTACATGAGTTTATCAATGATGATTTATTGGGGATAAACCACCTTGCATTGTGATTATGATTATTAATACATCATACAGTATCAATAAACAGGTCAAGTTTAATTTAAAGGGTTGTGTATGTTCAAGAGAAATTCCTTTTGCTTCTTTTTGGGGGAATTTTTAAAAACATTTAATTATGGTAATAAGAGTACCACTGGATTTTAACACAGTCATGGGCCATGGTCTTGTTCGATTTTGACTGTTTTGGAATAACTTTGCGCCTGAATTATCTTTAAAAATTCCCTGATGAAAACTGAACAAACATTTTTAAATTATGCCATAGACCATTAACTACTGTACCCAGTTGTGTGACTTTTACGGATTTGACCATGTCTGATTAAGTGATATGTTCTTCGAACTTTTTTATAATTATTTTTTGTTTTGTTTCTGAATATCTTGTTCGAAATTAAACACAATGTCAGGATTAATAATACACAGGTCAAGTTCGAATTTGAATGACAGTGAACATTTACCGTTTAAGGTTTATGCTGCGGACTGGAATGGCTGTGGTCACGTCAAGATCACCTAATTCTAGGTTATCAAAAAAATATCAGAAAGACAACTCTGTTCAATGGAAATAATACTTTATCAATTTGGTGCGTCCAAAGGGTTTTTTTCTGGATTTGTCTTCATCAGGAACGTTCAAACTCCAAAATTTGCAGAAAGCCAAGGATGTATATTTATTTGTAACTTTGAGGGACTATTTGACCAAAGGTGCCCTAAAAATAAGTTCATCTTTATTTTCTTAACTCGTTATCTTGTTTTGTAAACGATATTTCTAAAAAGCTGGGTGTCCAATGCCATTTTAATTTTATTTCTTAATAATGAAACAACATGATAGTGATAGCGATCGTAAAACGTATGTAGTGTCGATTTCAGTCGTTCTTCCTCATGACTCTGTTGGAGCAGTTATTTTGTAAGGAGCACACCTTTGTTTATTGAAGTCCGTATATAGTGTGAACATGCATGAGCGTATGGCGTATTAACTGAGATATGTAGACGCCATACGATGGAGCAGAGGGTATGTTACTGCTAAGATATGGGAAGTTGACAATTTAAAAGTTGAAATCATCACGTTTGTCATAGATTCTAGTTTGAAGTCGCCCATCTGTGTCTTAAACGAGAAAAAAATCAAGATATGAAGCAAACCCTCTTCTTCCGGTTGTAGCCTTAATTTTCTTGTTCACTGGGATAAATGAGATGTAAGCACTCACTAAAATGTGGGTTATTGAGTGACAGAACATCATCGAATTATGTGAAAGTGAAATTAAAGAACTTTGCAAGATGCTTTTCTTTTTGTCTTTGGGAAGGTTCTGTGTGCATTCTGCTTCATTTGAGTACAAAAACAGGTCGTCCAGTGGTGGTGCACATAATTATGACTGCAGAAAACTCATCGTTATAACAAATAAGACAAATATGTTGTCGATAAAAAAAAGTCCAGCATTTTGATGATTTCATATTTTGTGTATGTTGTTGTTGTTATCAGTTTGTTTCTTCACAAAGTAAGATTTGCATCACGTAAACAAGGAATTTGTATCTATGTTTCCCATTTTTGTATAAAAAGCTCTGTTTAATGAGATGATGTAGTCGACCTTCAATTGAGCATGGGGAAAAGTAGTGTAAAGCGTAGCGAACCCAAAGGAGTTTATATTACTACAAAGTTATAAAGATAGTGATTTAAGATTTGGAATAGGTCTTTAGGTTTTTTTTTAAAGAATCCACATCTGATTGACACCGCTGGTTGAATACACACGAGATCCTACATGTGTACTGTGTTGCACTATAAGACCCATGCGGTTTAATGTTAACTTCTTCGTTCAGCTCTAAAAGTAAGGTTAATCGAAATGTTATTCGTCGCATGCGGTGGAAGACAATTTTGATAGTATAAAATAAATGCAAATGTCACTAGTTTTCGTAGATTGGTTGACAACGGATTAAAGCAAAAGACATATATGAAGAATAAAATTTGCAAAAATATCACCTTTTATACAGGAAAATATTTAATCGATGTGATTAAACAAAGTTAATTTATATCGATTTTATTCGGTATTTTAACTTGATGACATCATGTCGATTTCATATGTAAGTACTGAGAAATGTACTTGGTGACCAATGTAGGGCTGTTTCGAATAAAAGCACTCTGGCACATGTTAAAGTAAGCATCGTATCTTTTTACATCTTTTTAAAATTGCATATTTAGGGGGTACATCAGGTACAGCTACATGTACCCTTCCCATATAGGATATACTAATTCTACATAGAAATACGATAAACGAAAATGTTTCGTCATGAAATTAAATTTATGATTACTTTTTTGTTTGTTGAGAAATCATTTAGCTGTAAAAAAATCTTTGACCTCTCTCTTTGGCATTGAAGAATACCAGGAATTAAAATGAATTAAATTGTAGTTAAACGACAATACACGGATAAACTTTCGATAGAATGGAGATGCTTGTTTAGAATGTCTCCTTGCTACTAATTTTTAGATAAATATTCCGAATTCGTCAAAATCAATTTAAAATTGACGTTTTGAAGCATTTAAATGTTCAGAAATAGGACACACTATTTTCAAAACCTCAAATATACAAGGTTGTAATACTGTAGATTTTAAAGAAGTTTTAAACAGTATTTCAAAATTGAAATTGTTGGTTGAACGAATATAGACCGTACATCCTTGCTGTAAAAGAATGGTGAGTGTCCCTTTCGGAATACCTTTTATTTTTGTGATCATTCTACTCGGATTATTCTGATGGATATGATTTTGTTGTGTTTTTTGTTTTTTCGTTTTTTAATTCCTTCATCAGATACTTCCTCTCTTAAGATTCGATCAACATTTGTTTCAATCGTTAAAATGCAATTATATAATAATTCGTTCAATTTCGACAAGCAGATTCAAGATTTTTTTAATGAAAATATATTAATAATGGCCTACAGTGTGAAAGACATTAATTATCACCTTTTAGTATACTACGTTTATCCGAAAAAGCGAACTGCAAAGTGTAAAGTTTAGAGGAGAAAGTGTTTATTTGAGAAGTATTAATAGTGTATCAAAGTTTATACAATTGCGTAAAACAATCTATCATTTTCGACAATATCCAAGATTACAAAACTATGACAATAAACATTTTGCACAGTTTTAACGGAGCATGATTATAGTACATAAATTTCATCACCCAGGAAACTCATTGTTAAGATAATGCGGTTTAAACGAGATATTCTATTGCCATACAACACAAAGACGAAAAGAACATTTACTGACGATTGTATCTTAAGAATCACATCAATGGGTTGGGTTATATGTTAATGTCATTTGAAGTATGTAAAATTATTGGTTGTGAAATTGTGTGTTCAATTCATACTAAATTATTTGTAATGCGGTTTACCTGATCAAAAGGTATTGACTTATTTCTCATTTGTCTAGCAGCTCTTTCTTCTTCAAATCATTTACACATAACAATATTGATGTCATGTCATTTGCTGAAATTAATATTACAAATAAAACTTTGACCATAATATTAGTGACATTTTAAATTCTGATTCTGTACAAAAATGTATTTATGAAATGGTGATCAAATGTTTTAAAAGGAAATAAGAAAGACAAAAAAAAAACTGTTTTCTACGTGCTTAATGAGTGTTAGATGCGATATCCCAGGGAATGTGGAAACGTTATCAGAAATACGCCGTAGAAGCAAACTATTTATTGAATCGTTTCAATAGACACTGGTAGTTCTGTATTAGGTTCCTAGAAGTTAACAGTGTTAATATGTAAATTAGTCACAACTGATTCCTGTTAACACAAGAAGATAGAATTATACAAGGACTATAACATACTAATAAAAGGTAAGATGATTTATATATTTGATACAATATGAAGTGTTTAAAAATCTTCAGTAATCATGTCCAATAATAAACTTATTTAGTCAATTATATATAAAACAAAACGTATTGTTTCTTCTATATCTTCTATTAAATTAACAAAAGGATTATAAAAAATATTTGTTTTAGATTGTTAATACATGAATAAAACTTAATAAATGAAAAATAAATATATTTTTCAAAACAAATCAAGTGAAAGCTTAAAGTGTCAGTTCTTACTTAGCGTGAATTATTTTGTTGCTTTAAACAAATATTTTAAATTAATGGTAAAATCCGAATTAACTGTCGCGCTTAACAGAATTTTTAATAAAAAAAAAATATAGAAATCTATGGAATAATCAGAGAGGTAGCACTTCTAAAAAGGACTGGCATAAAAAAAGCTTTTTTAAATTAATGATTTAAATATTCGATTAGTTTTTTTTTTGTTACTTAAAGCAGTTCTTTTCAATCCAATGCCCTCTCTTATACATGCAGTTTCAGTTTTCTGTAGGTACTCTTTGCTTTTCACGTTTAAAACTTATGGCCGTCGGTGGCTGAGTGGTCTATGAAGTTCATCTATCGTGATCATTTGCCCGTCAACTCTTAGGTTGTGATTTCGAATTCTGCTCGTCGAGGTGTGTTCGACTCCGATATTAATTGGCTAGGATTGATATTTTTCTTACCGAGGATTGGTGGTTCTTTCTGGATACTCTGACTTCCTCCACCTAGAAAACTGGCTTTTATGATATAGCTGAGGTTGCTGAAAGTGTCGCTAAACACCAATAATCAAACAAATACGATTACAATGTCTTATACGTACACATTTTCTAAAATACGCAACAAACAGTAACTTTAATATGAATAGTTGAGTAATATATATAGATTTCGGTCATCGTTTTTAATTTTTCTTAAAAGAATCATATCTTCAATTTCAAATTCATAGATTTTTCTTTAAAAAGTAAATGTTGTTGATACATATTTCCGTGTTAATGATGTAAAAAAAGTCCGTCCGTCTTTCATTGGCTTTCCCTATGATAATTAAAGCACCCATTGTTTAAATTTGTTGAAAACCTTACATGATGTCATGAACTACAAAATAATGTATATGCAATTTGTCTTAAGTTGCTAAACGTCCAGTGGCACATATTGCATGCATGTTCAGGACGATAAAGGATCGGTCATCAGGATTAATTTTATCTAACTTTCCGGGGGATATGAAAATATTAGGGGTCATCGTCTTTGCATTTGCTGTCTAAATTATTCAAGTACGACAGAGAAAAGATACATGAACAATATATGATTTTGCAGCATGACGCGGTCACGTTAGGATTATTTTGTTCTGATCTTTTTCACGCTACAGATTGAGTCTAATTGATTTCTTTCGAAAAATCGAATGTAGTGACCTAATATTTTTATATTGTTAACACGTAAATGTTAACAGCAATAACATATAAGTTTTAATCGAAATTCTGTAAATGAATTATTGAGAAAAGGCATTTTAAAGTGAAAAATGGGTCAACGTTTCAAACGGTCGGGTTGCAATAGTTGTGACTAATCAATGTAGAATGATCCAACTTGTCTACATTTTTTTCTGCTTTGAAAATTGTAGGAAGGTTTGATTACACCAAACTTGTACTCTCTTCCATAAATTTTGAAAAATATGACTTAATATAAGTTCAATGGTGTCCTCAAACAAATTCCATAAAAGCAGGTGCATTACTCTAACATATGTGCAATCACAGTTTCTATGATATGTGTTGAAAACTGTAAGAGGAGTTGATTACACAAAAAATTGTACCCTGTTTCTTAATTTTTCTGAAAAATAACCAAGTTCCTGAGTCCAGAAAGAATAAGAAAAAAATCTCCAAACAATTCCATTACAGCAGGTGCACAACTTCAACATATGTGCAACATCCTAGGAAGTGTCAGGAATTTGGGTTGACAACTTTATATGAAACAAATATCAATGCATGAAATCGTAATAAAGTATTGGCATTTCGTGAGTACTGAAGTATTTTAGGTTTATGGACCATCTAATTTACCATCAAGTTGACCTCCGAAAACTGAGTCACATGGTCATTGTCAATTTCCACCAATACTACTATAGCAGCCATTATACAGTAATCGAACAACAAATGGTTCAGACTCATGTTATACCCGTTATAATGAGCAGTCCTGTATAAATTGCGCAAATTCCCTTTTTAAAAAAGCTCAATTGTCCAAAGAATTGAAGCGCTAATGAATATTAAAAAGGCGCTAATGGCATATCAACGTCGCAGAAGGCGGGATAAAATAATCTCAATGGAATGATATGTAATTGTGCAAATAAAACCGCATGCTGAATATAATTGAGTTAACATTTCAATCATTTGTACTTTCCCTTAAAACTATAATGGCCATGTGTAGAGTATGTGGTCAATTATGACCTTGTTCAGGCGTCAATGATGACCTTGGATCTTAATTTGTTTTGTTAATACATCTGTGATCTTCTCTGTGGTCATCGTTAAAATTAATTGCAAACCTGGAACCTGTCGAGATTTGACAATATGTCAAACGCACGGGTCTTCTTTCTTGTGACAATAAGTTGTTATTGATGTGATTGTCTTAAATGATATCGTAATACTAGACACTTTTACTCCTTGTTATAAATTATCAACATAATTCATAAATTCCGCGAAAGTTGCTCCGCTTAATTTAAACTAGTGAGTCCCTCGTGTCCTATTTTTACGACGTTTGTGTTTATACTGTGATCCTTACGTGCAGGCTTATTGGAAAATCATTACCTTTGTTAAAAAAGCTAAACAACCAGGACGAGTAGTGTCATTTCTAAATAATATAACCTTAAAACTAGCCGCAAGTCGGTTGTTACTGCCTCGTTACTAAGTCACATTCTATTTGAAAAAAAATAATATGTGAGTTTTACATTATAACATAATTTAATATGTAAAAAGAAGAGAAGATACGAAGGGGACAAACAAAAACCATTAGTTCAAAAAAACAGTTTAAAGTTAGTAGACCATGACTCCGAAGGCGGGGTCAAATAATCTCCATGGAAATGAGATTTTATAGCCGCATGCTAAATATCATTTAGTTACCATGTGTTGTTCCCCTTAATCTTATCTAATCACAAATTTTAACAAATTGTTCAAGCCGCCGACGTTGACGCCGGAAACAGCACACCTAAAGTCTCGTCTCTATGCATAGTCAAAGTCGAGACAAAAACCCATAGTAAAACAAATTTTTATAACAAAGAACAATATTAAACATTAAATAATTTTAAAAAAAATGTGTAAAACTTATAATATTTATTTTGAATTCAATCTTTATTACCTAGATTCTAAGTATCACAATTCGATTTGTATGCTTACAGTATATTTAGTATCAATAAGAAGATAGATCAAAACTGCAATTATTTTTTTATAGGGGGGAGGGTATATGTAAATTTTTAATTTTAGATCAAATGCCCTCAACAGCCACATGTAGCACTGAATAGCAATTTGATTTTCGTAGAAATACATAAAATTTTTCAATAATGTTTTATTAAATTATGATATGGACTCTTTAATATTCAAATTTCAGTACGAATTGACGACTTTCCGATTTGTCCCTGTGAGTGAAACAACTACAGGGGAAATGGGTCCTTCTCTCTTTAGTTGGATACATTTGTTATTGGTTTGTTTATTCTAAGGAGTTTTCCACAAAGAAGGAGGTATGAAAAGGCCGCTTTTTTGCTTCTTGAATTCGATTCAATTGATTTATTGATCAAATAACGTCACTCCGATGTTTTAAAGACATTTATATTTTTTAATCTTTCCAAGCAGATTTAACAATAGGGTTTCAAATTTGATGCTTTTTATGCAAAACTGTCAAGATAGTCTTATTTTTAGAGCTTGTCATTCCAATATGAGCCATGACCTTATCTAAAAAAGAAATTTCACTGCAAGATGTCCTATGTAAAGATGTTTAGGTTGCCTTAACTTACATACGGACACACTGTAAAAATAAATAGATTATTAAAGTTTACAATGAACATGAAATAATTCCTTAATGATTGGGAAAGTACTCCAAGTAGTTGATTAGAACTGAATTGTTTGTAGTACATGAGGGAGGTCTGGTGCTTTGCTACCGAAAACAGAATTATGAAATTAATCACCGATTTTCCATTCTTCTTCGTTTAAATTGGAAAGTTTATATGTACATTGATTTATTATAACATCGATCAAAGTTTAGAAATGAATTATTATTCCCTATGCCTGTCAGTTAAAACTTTCATTTAACCCTCAACAATGTTTACCTCTTTGTGGGTAATGATGATTTCAAGATATTGCACCAGATACAGAAGGCAATGTGAGGTATATTATTCGTACCCGTTCGACAATGTCATTTCCTTTGTTACGACCGAGCAAATTTGACAAAACCTAACTCGAATAATATAAAGTAGGTCGTTTTCCGACAATTGTACTGTTGTAAATTTGGCCGTTAAGATTCTCATTTGAATTGTTTCACTTTTTCATTATGGGGCCTTTTAATAGCCGACTAAAGGGTATGTGGTTTTCTCATTGTTAAAGGCCGTATGGTGACCTATTATTGCTTATTGCGTGAACCCCTGAGGGTTCACGCAGTATATATTGGACGACCTCTGTAGTCTTTCGGAACACCGGAAGTCTTTTCGGAATACATATGTTCTTTTCTATGGCCAACTGCGTTATAGGTAATTAATTGATGAATATTCATTAGCGTTTTGCAGTTACTATAGAGATAAGTGTTTATCGATATTGAATGATATCCTACACCAGTAGATAATTAATTAGAGATGCATGAGTAAACGTTTTCTGAAACACAAGCTGTGTTCACAAACACAAGCTGTGTTCACATTGGAGATGAGATTTTAAGAGAAAAAAGTTACCGTCAATGGAGAGGGCGTTTTTATAATTTTAAAATCTATCCATTTTAGCAAAATTAAAATAGAGCGCATTCCATTTAAG